CTGCTGTACAACAATGTGTGTATATATAGTTAAAAATACTTTACTGTAGACTTAAAAATTTGTTAAGAGGGTAGACTTCATGTGTTTTTTACTACAGTAATAATAAAAAAAAACTCATTGCCAAACCTCCGTCACACAGATTTTCTCCAATGTTTTCTTCTAGCAGTCTTATAGTTTTAGGTTTTACATTTAGAACTATAATCTATTTTGGGTTAAATTTTACATAAACTGTATGGTATGTGCTGAAGTTCTTTTTTTCTTTTTCTTTTTTTTTTGCCTACGGACATCCAATTGTTCCAGCACTATTTATTAAAAAGACTATCCTTTCTCTATTGAAATTGTGTGCCTATGCCAAAAATCAGGTCAAAAGTCCTGAGGTGCAGTGTCCTTTGAGTGTTCTCAGAACAGTAAGGAGGCCACTGGGCTGAGCGGAGTGAGGGGGAGTGGAATGGGAGAGAGGAAGGAATCCCAAAAGTAATGAGAGGCCAGATCATGTAAGGCCTATAGGCCACTGTAAGGTTTCGAATTTTATTCAGAGTAAGATGGGAAGTGATTTAACAGTTTTGAGCAAAGGTGGTGATATTTGATTCATTTTTTAGGTCACTTTGGGTGCTTTGGGGAGAAAGGATTAGTGGGGAAATCCAATCTTATGTAACTTTTTTAGACATGTTTTAATCTTTATTCAGTTTATCAAACAATGTATAAATCCCCCATATATAATTCTGCAATTAATATTACTGAGGTTAGGAAACAGGTCTGAGTACTTAAAATACCTGAAAGTACCTAAAAGTCTAAATACCTATAATGAAAACCCTACTAGAGTAGGGACACCTGGCATATCTTCATGGGCACCTAAGGAGAAGGCTGGATTCCACTGGACTTTACAGCATTTTACGGAAGGTCCACAAATCGTTACTGGTGTTGAGAAATCCAACACAGTTCTTGGCCTGTCTATGGTAGATCTTGACAAATATTCTTTCTTTCTTTTTTTTTTTGTGAGGAAGATTAGCCCTGAGCTAACATCCAATGCAAATCCTCCTCTTTTTTTCTGAGGAAGATTGGCCCTGGGCTAACATCCGAGCCAATCTTCCTGTAGATCTTGACAAGTATTTGTTAACAAATAACGTGATCATGCTAAGAAAAACAACAGTAGTTGCTTGGATCTGTTAGGAGGTTTATTTTCATTTCATTTTGTGTAACTGCAATTGATTTACTGTGGAAATTTGTACCTGCATTTCCTGCTCCACAGAGCAGCACTTGAACTACTATCTGGCCTCTCTCAGTGGTCTCCATTGTTGTGATCTGACTTTATGAAAGAAGGTTTCATTTTCATGCAGTGTTGGTGGCAATATAAAATCGGTACAACCTCTTTGGAGATCAATTTGTCAATTCTATTAATTAAAACAAACCAAACATAGCCTTTAATTAAGCAATTCCACTTCTAAAAACTTGTACAAAGTTGAATGGACAAGGATAATCAAAGCTGCATCGCTTATAAACTGAATAACTGGCAACAATTTAATGTCCATAGGAAGGGCTACATGAATTATGATACATCCAGCTGATGGAATTCTCCGCAGCCATTAAGGAAGGAGGTAGAGATTCTGTATTGCCACAGAAAGGCCTTCAAGGAATACTAAGGGAAGAGAGAAAGGCTGCATGATCATAATGGTAATGATTATTATTATAAACACTTGTAAAGTGGTACCATATTCTAAGCATTTTACCTGTATTAACTCTTTACTTCTCATCACCCCTCTAGGAGGTGGGTACTATTGTTATCCCTACCTTACATATGAGGAAACTCAACACAGTAATGTCAAGTAACTTGTCCAAGGTCACAAAACTTGTCAGAGTAGCAGAGGCAATGTCTGGCTTGAGAATCAGTGTTCTTATGTGGTTCTTTCCAAGTATGTTAAAAAATGTATACAAGTATATGTGTGCGTGCGTGTATGCATATGTGTATACATACGTGTGCATGTATGTCCGTATTAGCACATGCATGGGAAGTAGCTCTAAGCATAACCACCCAACTGTTAGCAGTGCTTTCTCTGAAGAGTGGGGTGGGGTGGGAGAGGAAGAGGAGAAGATACTTATGTGATACATGTCTCCTTTGCTTGTTTGCTTTTGTTATGAGGGACATTATCATTTTTATAATAATTTTTTTTCATAAGGGATGTTTCTCAAATATAGCATTCTAGTTATCTTTCTTCTACTGCTAGCAGTTAAGGAAGAAATTTGGCCATTTTCTTCATTGTTAACAAGTTATAGCATTCATTGATTCATTCAGCAAAAACATCTAAACTGTGCTCAGTGTTCCTGCCTCTCCCAGTCCTCGGGGAGCTCACAGTCTCCTGGAACAGACTGACACGTACACATGTAATTCCAGAGCTTCTATAAATGGGACCCACAAAGATGGGGTGGCAGGGGCATGAAGGAGAGATGTCAGTTTTGTGGAGGGCAGGGAGAGGTGGGTGAAGGCAGGTGCCCAGAGAGGCGGAAATGTTTTGCCTAAATACTGAAGGAAAAGTAAGAGTTCTTGAGAAGAGCAGGGAGGGGAGGAAGAGAAAACAGCATCCCCAATGGAGGGAATAATGGGAATCAAGACCCAGAAGGAAAGACACAGGAACCCACACTGTTCTTCAGGAGACTGGGCGTAGTTTGCTTCAGCTGCAGCTTAGGGAGGGAAATGCGAGGAGTGCCTCTGGGGACGTGGGCAGGAGCCACGTCACCCAAGCCCCTGGGCCATGTTAAGAATTTCATCTGGTGGATCAGTTTTCCTAAGGAACATTCGAAGAATGCAATTTAGAGGCTTGAATAACTCAAAAGACATAGATCAAAAGATATACATATAAAGGAGTATCATGCAGCCTTGAAAAGGAAGGAAATTCTGACACATGCTATACTGGGTGACCCTTGAAAACATTATGCTAAATGAAGTCAGTCAGATACAAAAGGATAAATATTATATGATTCTACTTATATGAGGTACGTAGAATAGTCAAATTCCATAGAGACAGAAAGTAGAATAGCAGTTACTAGAGGATGGGGAGGAGGGAGGAACGAGGAGTTATTGTTTTGTGGTTATAATTGCAGTTTGAGATGATGAAAAAGTTCTGGAAACGGGTAGCGGTTAGAGTTGCACAACAATGTGAATGTACTTAATGCCACTGAATTGTGCACTCAGAAAGTGTTAAAATGATACATCTTATATTACGAGTATTTTACCACAATAAAAAACTGGTTAAAATGGTAAATTTTATGTTATGTGCTATTTTACCACAATCAAAAAGTACAGGAAAAAAAAAATAAAAAGGATATAGTCAAAATATTTAGAGAACTAATTCAAAGTGTTTTCTTTCCTGATGTTAAAATTAGATGTCATTTCTCTGCTTAAGCTGGTATTAATGATTTGTTTCTGTTATTTATATAATAATGGCTTCCACTCACTGAAAACTGGCTGTGCTAGGTTTACACTCATAGAGATGAGGAGACACAGGCTCAGAGAGGTCAACTACCCCCTCAAGAGCACAGCTAGTTAGCGGGCATTTCTAGGAATCCTAGAATTGGAACTCAGCTCCCAACACCTTGCTCTTCAGCAATTCCCAATCTGCTTATCTTGCTACTTTTTTGGATATGTCAACATTTTTCTTAAAAAGTTCTCCCTCGATCTGCAAGGAAAGTATTGTTTGGTGTTTTCTGGGTTCAGAAACTGTAAGAAGCCTGAGGCACTGCAGAACGAAAGGTTTGTTGAGCGTTTACTTTCGATCCACATCTGATACTTTTGAAGGGCTTTGACCCTCTGCAAAAGAGACCAAAAGAGCATTCAAAATGAGTCTCGATGCTCACACCGTGTCATCCGCTCGGCAGCCACCTGCCACCGCGCGGAGCCGGGTCTGCCCCGGCCCCGCCGC